CTTCAAGGTAGCTAAGCAGTCATGGGAAGTAGAGGACCCAGAACAGGAAAGAGAGCAGCTCCCTGCACTGAAATCCCAATCAGCTACTAACCATGCATCTGGGGAGATAAAGAACAAGGCTCAAATGCCCTAGCATGCCAGCTACTCTCTCTGTGTATCAGCAATTGTAGTAAAAAGATTATAAAATGTTTTGTAAGCTGTGTCTAAGCAAACACCACGTGGTTCTTTTGGCTTTAAGTCATGTTTTCGCCCTGTGTGTACAGACCAAAGGGCACATTTTTAGAACTCTGTGGCAGATAGAGCATAGAATATAAGAAAGCCACAGAAGGGTTGTTGGGGAAAGGAAGTAAACAGAAACCTGATTGGAGCTTGAAGCTGAGTTTCTGTTTGTTGAAAATGCTCTTCCTACCGCCTACCCCTCCCCGGCTCATATCCTTTATCTGGGACCCAGGGCCTCAGTCAACTTCTTGGAAATCACAGTGACATTACTAAACCTAGGTAGGGCATGCCTAGGTTCTTGGGAAGAGCAAGGGGAAATATAGAACACCTGTATTACTGTGTCCTGACACTTGTCACACATTTGTAGGGTGCCTGGCAGCGCACTGCAAACACGGAACCAGAGAACATGTTAAGTGTCAAGTTATGCCCCTTCTGGTAAAGGCTGCAGAAGGAAAGTGCACTTGGAATTTCATCATCCCATATTCTACACTACCTCATATTCTGGGACCCACTTTAACTATGACTGATCTCTCCATGCCGCAGGGTGGAGACATGCAGACATGCAGCTACCTCTGGTGGGTACACAAGCCAAGAGTAGGTGTCATGACCTTAACTTTATATTCCAGAGGCAATAGAAATTTCTACCCCGCCTCTGGTGTTTCTAGCAGGTATTTTTCTGAGGGCTCAGCACAGCTTATGCCATGTATTCACTTTCTGTCTCTTATTCAGTTTTTCAACGACCCAGAACAACCTATCATTTTTAGTAGCTATAGGGACCTGAAAAGACACAGAATTTCAGACAAGCCTAGAACTTGACTCCTGGCACTGTTTCTGCACATGTGCCAAGTGCATGAGAGCCAACTGCAGCTGGAAGGAAGTTGGCCTGAGTGTGGCTGACTCTTTGTTCACACTTTTGCACATTGGAACTCATGTGTATCCATTTTACTGTTTAGAAGCCCGAGGCATGTTTACCTAGGAAAGTGGATAATGACTGAAGTAGGAGAGCCCTCGGTTAGCCCCCAAGCCGTTCCACACCAAGTGTGGCATCACTTCTGTATTTAATACTTGCTCTGCTCTCAGATTGCCTTAGATTTTATCAGCGAGAGTCCTGCAGGGTTTTGGTTTGTGATTGCTGAGGTCAGGATACATTGTAAAACACTTTTATCCGAGACCCTTCTTCATGTGGTCAGCTTGCACT